AGCGATGCACTTGTTCCTAGTAGCTTCTTGTTACTACTAGTAAGGCATTTGTTACTAGTAGCGATGCACTTGTTCCTAGTAGCTTCTTGTTACGATTATGCAGTCTAGATTTGGGCTGTATCTGTGTACGCATCAATCGTCGGCTATGGCATGCCAATCACACGGGAGTGGGTTCTGTGCTTTGTCGTCTGTGATTCTTCTGTTTCGGTTGTCTCGGACTGTCTCAGATTTCACTTCCTCACCTGATCGAAGTCGTTCAGCCGCCTGTCACGCTCCTCCTCATAGCTTACTTTGGCCTGCGTCTCAACCCTACTGAGCGTGGGACCAGATCAAAGATACATTTACCAAAGGCTCTAGCACTGACCCCACTCCTCAACCCTCGAGCAGGTTTGGAAATTAGGAAGATTCGCAAAAACTTGCCAAGCAGTGAGGACAAGTCCCTCGTGCAAGCAAGCAGCAGTGACCCACTCAAAGGGCGTCAAGAGATACTCTGTTGCCACAACGTTGGGCTCAGCACCTGCCTGTGCCACCCCACAAGAACACGGGATCGAAGAGGATTCTCTTTGAGAAATCGCTGTAGGGTGAATGCCAAAATGTCAGGATATTCTGCACTTGCTTCTTTTCCCTGGCCAGAGCATTTCGAGCCTTGATGAGCTTTTCTACAAAGTCAGCAGAGCCGCACATCGTTGCATTGAAGAGAGGAGTCAGGCCATCCTCATGTTGAGAGTAATACCCTTCAAACAAAGTCGATCCTTTATTTGCACAAATATGACAATGGTATCTCTCCAGAAAAAGGTGCGCTCGAAGCTCCAACTCAGAGACTACGCACGTAAACCACCGCTTCTTTTGGCAAATCCAACTGTGAAACAAGCCAGCATCTTGGCCGTCCTCATTCTTCCAATTTACATTGGGCTTCTTCTTCAGCACGCGTTCCAACCTCAGTTTGAATCTCGCTGCCTTCAACCACCCCTGTATCTTTATTCCTTGCCACCTGAAGACTGCTCGCAACTGGTCCTATTTGTCCAGCTGGTGGACATGCATATGGTCGGTCCGGTCAATAAGGGCCACACCGCTTGGGGCATTTACCTTAGGCATTGCATCTTGTGATCAAAGGATTCAGTTATCAATGGTCAAACTCACCAAGTGATTGAAAGAAAGAAGCGAGGACCTCTCACTGATGTTGGTCCAATCGCATGCTGGTTGCACAATTGTGACTCATTTCTCGTTCCAAAGCTCTTTAACGGAAAAGGTTTACCAGAACAGCCAAGTGACCCCAGCCACACACTACAAAGAGCTCCAACTCAGGAGACATCTTTGCTGACATTTGCACCTCAAAGTCAAATGACGATAAATCTCAGCATTTCGGCGGTAACCATGTCAAATGACGTTGGCCACTGATGCAAAGAAAAGACAGAAGCAAAACAATAAACAAAACAAAGGCATTCTCAAATGCCTATCTGCTGAACTAGTGTAATCGCCATTCCTACTGCAGTGCCCTCCCCCAAAGGCACTACCCTTGCAGAAAGAACCTCGCTGTCAGCACGGGTTCAGTTAAGCAACTGAGCAATGTGTGTTTGTTCCTCGGCAAGCGACGGTCGCAGCTTCCTTTGGCGCAATCAGCGGCATTTTGTAGCAGCTCTCCGGCGCGGTTGGTGGGCACCCTTGGCCAAAGGGGACCAAGAGAATGAGGGATCTGCGGTGGCAGGGTGTCAAACATACAAAAAGCATCAAAAAGACTGAGAGCGATACGCGTTTCTGCAATGCAAACTCCAAGTGCTGTGATATGCGCCAAATGTATCTAAGGCTTACTCTAAGGCTCTAAGGTTTGAATGAGGATTGTTGCTTCTTGCCTCTCTGCCTTTCACCCTGGCACAAAGAAAAGGGATGCAGCTCAGTCTCGGGCGTGAGTAACGTGGACGGATCGCAAGTGGCAGCCGCTTTCACTTCGAGCCAAGTCCCACGCGTGCACTGACCATAAACGGATTGACCGTGAACCATTACAAACCAACACACTTCCTTTCTTCCCTTTGCTTCCAGAACCAAGAAGCTATTAGTAACAAGTGCATCGCTTCTAGTAACAAGTGCCTTACTAGTAGTAACAAGAAGCTACTAGTAACAAGTGCCTTACTACTAGGAACAAAGGACGCTACTGGTCCGAATCTTGAAGCCACCGAATTGAGTGCCCCACTGAGCTGTTGCCACACTGAGATGGCGAGGTAGGTACATGGCCTGGGAGATCGGCAGAATCCAGTCTCGGTCACCCGTCATCTATCAGAGCACCAGCAAGTGGCAAGTGGTGATAAAATGTCCTTGAAGCATTGGTGCTGGGTTCAGAGCAGGCGATGCTTGAGTGGGGAAGAGCATCAGGGGCTGTTGCTCGGCCCGTTGTAAGGAAGACACACCTTGGATTGAAGCCATTCAGAACTGAAGAACCTGTGCACGAAGATCTAGCAAATGCGAAGAATCTCTAGAGTCTGAGTCTGAATGCCTTTAAGTCTAGTGTTCAGTATGATACAATATGGAGTCCTGTAAACTTGCGATACACAGCTCGCAATCCGAGGAGTAAGCAAAGTTTTACCAACTTCACCAAAGCTCCTCACAAAACAGTGCACTGGTCAGGCATCCACTCTTTCCCTTTCTAAGTCCATTCAATCTTTGCTGTTTGGGTTCTTGGCTTCTTTGTTTGTTGATTGGTTGGTTGGCTTGTTTTTTTTGTTTCTTTGCTTTGTTTTCTGTTTTGCTGCTAACAGGTCGTCGATAGTCCAGTCATAGTCTGGGGGAGATGATCTATGTAGCTTTAATTGTCTCTAGAAGTCTTTGAGGCTAGCTGCTCGCCCTCTTTCAAACCTTTTGGCACCCGACTCAACTTTATATTGAGAGTTTCAAATCCAACTCAACTTCAAACTCCATGCCTCCAGGTGGTGTCACGAAATGATCCAAGAAGAGCCTAGACCAGCAGACTACTTTGATATGAACAGACACTGCTGTGACACACGTGAAGAGCGGGCAGTGTGAGGCAATATAGCAAAGCTCAGGACGCTCGAGAAAAAGAATTGTCACAACGCCAAGTGCACCTCAAGTGTTCCTTCAACTGCTCGTCACCTCCATGCAGTCACAAAATAGGCTTGAAGGAGCTGTTTGAAGACATGTTACATCATGCTACCATGTTAACTCACAAGTTACATCTGTAGGACAGCATTGGAAGTTCCTGAGATGATTTCCCCCAGATTCGAGTTGCCAACCTTCTGGGAAGAGAAATGCGGAGAGTGCTGCAGAAACGCCTTGGCCGCACAAGGCTAAAGCCGCTCATGACTCATGACTAGATTCTTGAGGGCCAAACTATTCCCACAATCGTCGCTTTTCTTGTGAGAAGCAAATGTACCAGAACTACCAAAACACCCTGCAAAATATGCCTATCTCATAGACTCATAGACAGCGAAGAGAGACGTAGTAGGGCAAAAAAGGCCAGTCGGATTGGGGCCCGAGGGGTTCGAGTCATGGGGTCTGCTTCAAGCCTCAAAGCCTGTTGGCGAAGAATGGCGATCGATGAAGGAACCCCAAAACTAAACAATGACCAAATCGAAGGATAAAAAAAAGATACTAAAAAAAGTGGGCCGAAGAAAACATGCCTGCATATCATTGACGGCCCTTTTCTATCACTTCACCAACTGCTTTCTTAGACTCCGTGAGGGGAACAATCCCATACATCCAATGTAAAAAACGCAGAAACAATGGGATGAAATAGGCTCCAATCCTTTGAGTATCAAACCTCCGCACCCCAAACCTGGTTCAACTTGCCAGAACAACACCAAAGCACAACAGCATAAAGAGGTCCACTGAGATGCCGCACCACTGCAAGTGACTTCAAAAGCCGTGACACCCTCCTTTGCCAGCAGTAACGTCCGGAGTCGCTCCAATGCCTCGTGGCAAAACCGCCGGACAAGCCAGGTTCATGTGCTTTGCAAGATACTTTGCGCAACGACATGAGAGCATTTCCGGCTGGGAACCCAGCAGTCTTGGCATCTTTGGGAAACTGTTGGGCCTGGGCGATGGCCGCTTCATCTTGGGAGACAACTTGGTGACTAGAGGTTACAGTAGCCAAATCCAATAACATAGACACTGCAAAAATCCAGCAAATTGATTGATGGGATTTCGGGTTTCAGTATTCGTGAACTATTAACACACGTGGACTTGCCACATTAAGCCATCCACTGAATGTGTTGTGCATCTACCAAGACAACATCTACGAATGCACGTCCAAACGCCTCAACTTGCTACGAATGTCATGACAAAGCTTCCTCCAAGCAGCAATGTCTTTCATTTCCTGCAGTACAACCAGCTCCAGAGACCAACTGGCCTTAGCATAACAAAGTCCATGGGCCCGAACACCACGAAACATCACGAAACTCTTCTGCTGTTCGGTTTAACATGGTTTAACTAGCGGTTTTGCCTCCCTGCAGGGTCTCTTGAACCGCCACTCTGAATCTCAGAAATTTCCTGTCCAGCCCACAACGAAACTGGACATATAGAGAAACTCTCCTTTATCTCAGGGAGAGGTCCATCCAGCCACCTCTCAGGCTATGGCAAAGTGTTTGGTGTTCACGCGCTGTGCCACCTGACCAGTTGATACACCACAACGTCCGCTTCCTGTTTTGAGTGTTGTGGCAAGCTCCTCCCCCGGGTTGCCTCCCGGCAAAGCTTTCGCAAGCAACCTGCAAAGGGGATGAGAAGGTCTGAAAGCAGCTGGAGAATTCCAAACGGACATCCGACAGAAACGGATGTGCCTGCTGATGAGCTTGATGCAGGCCTCGGAATCTTGCTTTGTGGCTCAAAAGCCTTTTAAGACAAAGAACATTGTGGATGCAGCTCGTCGAAAGCTTCAGACAAGCACACCACCCAGTTCCCGCGGCTACTTTCATGCAATTGCGTGAAGTCACTCTTTCCGTGCTGGGACTGAACATTGATCTCCTAGCAACTGGTGTCTCGGCGCCCTCTGTTGCCTCTCGGTCTCAGCTTCACCAGCTGGTGCCTGTGTTTCGCGCACGTGGAATTCAGCACCCCTCGTCCAATGCCAAAGACTGGGTCTGCAATTGGGGGATACCTAAAACACGCTGCGCCACCAACCCTGGCTTGAGACTTTAGAATACCCAACGGATCAAAAGTAGCAAATTTAAAACAAAAAAAAGCGCCTCCGCCTTCTCAATGGGATGGTCAGCCTTCTCTGCCGCCTGAGGGCAAAGTGGCAAAGAACTCATTGAGGTGCCCAGGAGTGGAAGTAAGAAAAGATTTCAGCTCCACTGAAACTGTGCTCTCCGCTTTTCTTGGGAAAAAGCTCCCGTTTCATGTGGAAGCTTTTTTGGTTCTCGTGGCAGCTTCTGTGGTGCACCTCCTCTCGCTCTCCCATATTCTGCACGGCATGCAGCACTCCTTGCCGAACGAAGTTCAACCTGTGCTGCGAGATCAGAAGTCGTCACACCACCAAAAGGATCTTGCACGTCTCTTGCAATCCTTCTCTATTGTCTAATCCAGCAGAATTCCCAAAGCCTAGTTAAAGCAAAGGCTCCCACACGTAGTCACTGTAGTGGTGTTGTAACATCTGCTCAGTGATGAGCCTCGTCCGCACGAATACATTACTTTCTCTGCAAAAGCTGGTAAAAATGAGTCTCCAGAATGATGCTCTTGCGTACAGCAGTCAATGGCAGCAATCCACTTGTTGCAAGGAGGGGGACTCCAACACTCTCCGAAAGAGAGGTCCTGTGAATCTACCAAGTGAATGACTCCTCGATCACACACTTGACTCACATGACTGACAGAGGGCGCACAGGCATGACAACGTCACGGAGGTGGAAGGCTCCGTGAGCAAAAGGTTGGCCTTGGCAACGATGAATTGCACGATGATTGCCATGAAAAGAGGTAACTTGTACCTACACATCAGAATTCTTTACACTAGCCACAGAGTTGCTTGGTTGCATCCAAATTGCCAAGAAGTTTGCCAGGTGCACAGGGTCCAAGTTTTTGCGGAGAAGCCTTGGCGCTTTGTCTTTGCCAAGCAAAATCATTCCGGTTTGTGTGGAAGTGAGTACATGCAGGTACTCTATTCTGCTGGACGAATATTTCCTCTCTAAGAGTGGATCATGATGGTTGGTTGTCTGTAACTATAACCCACTTACAGCCCTGTAATACCCATCAACAGTTGGCGGGAAAGACCCACCTCTTGCTGATGCCTACAGTGGTTCTGTGGATTCTGTGATGCTGTGTCAGGTTCACCTATCCTTCAGGCAAGGCACTCAGGTCGTTCTTGGCCTTAGCTCGCAAAACAGCAGAGACGGCCATGGGATCTCGTTGCCAGTCACGGCAGTACATTGTGTGTGTGAAGCCTTTGGACTCACAGGGAACCTTTTGGTTTGGAGCAGGGGCCTGTGGCCCTCTTGTCCGACCACACGCAACGAAGCTGTGGACAAGAGGGGGATGCAGAGCCTGATCAGCTCTTTGTACCTGCTCCACTATTTAGGAAAACAGAAGGAAATGGACTTGTGTGTCGGTGCCTTTCCTTCTGTTTTTCCTCTCTTCTACTCTATAGGTTTGCAGGTGGGCCTCCAAACTTGTAATGCGGTCCTTCAACCTGAATTCGTTGGCCTCCACCCGCTAGCATTGCCTCTAACCTTGGCTGTCCTGTGTGTCTTGTGCTTCTTGTGCTTCTTGTCACCAACCTACTAGCGATGGCCCCCCAACCTGCCTTCGACGGCCTCCAACCGAAGAGCGAAGACCCCCAACTTTGACGGCTTTGCTGTCTTGTTTCTTGTCACCAACCTACTAGCTTACTAGCGATGGCCCCTCAACCTGCCTTCGATGGCCTCCAACCTAAGAGCGACGACCTCCAACTTTCGTGCCTCGCTTTACTCAGGCTTCTTTTTAACCTAGGTTGGCGGGTGGCAACCGCAACCAAATCCGTACGCAGTTCAATAAGTGTGTCTCTCCTCGTGAGAGCCCAGGGTGAGCCCGCAGAGTGCCCCCTGTGGACCCGTCGAAGGGGGGTATGTCTTTATCTTCCTTGCTCGGAGATGTACGTGTCCAGAGCGGACAGCACGCAGGAGGCTTAAGCCAAAGTTATTTGAAGACTTGATGGATTCTTGAACTCTAAGCTGGCCGCCATTTTGGCATGCCTTTAGGTGACCGCAGCGGTCAGCAGTAGGCAGCCTTCGGGCACGCCGCAACGTGGTCGCAGCGACAAAGGTTGTTCAAGGTTCATTGGAACCTGTCGAGACCTTAACCCCCTTCCTCCCCTGGGTGATCCTGAATGCAACACTCAGGTTCACACCTCTCCCTGGTGTGTCCCTGGACGATCGCTCGTAGCTGGGAACACCTGTCCACTTCCCTTTCTTCCCTCTTCCTTCCCTTCCTTCTCTCTCTCTCTCTCTCTCTCTCTCTCCCTCTCTCTCTCTCTCCCTTTTTCTCTCTCTTCCTTTTTCTCCCCCTTCCTTCTTCCTAGGGTGTCCCTGGATGCTTTTGTCATAGCTTAGCTGGGAGCCCTTTCTTCTTGGTGTGTCCTTCAAACAAAGAAGGCCCCTGCAACAGGTTTTTCAATGAGGTTGGGTCTGTCATTGGTTTGTCCCCTTTCATTTGGTTCCCTCTTCATTGGCCCCTCACAGACGTGTTTTCTTCTTTTCTTTCATGTCCTTCTGTCTTCATGTCTCGTCATCCTCATCCTTTCTTTTCTCTTGCGCGCACTTTCGCCGGGACCTTAGCTTGTACACACAAACACACGCACGCGTATTCTACTTTCAACTAGGTTCAGGTGCCCCAGGTTTGTTACAATGAGGTTCGGTTCATCGGTTGTCCCTCTTCACTTGGTTCCTCTTCATCGGCAACCACACACACTTTTTGTCTGTCTGGTCTCTTTCATTTTCATCTGTCTCCGTTGCGCGCACATGTGCTTCGCATAACCCCCTTTCCGGGCAGGATGGGGGTGCCTCCTTTCCAAGCAGGATGAAGGCCAAGCATGCCTCCCTTCGGGGGGGCGTGTGCGTGGAACCCTTGGACTCACAGGGAACCTTTTGGTTTGGAGCAGGAGCATGTGGCCCTCTTGTCCTACCACGCGCAACGAAGCTGTGGACAAGAGGGGGATGCAGAGCCTGATCAGCTCTGTGTACCTGCTCCACTATTTAGGAAAACAGAAGGAAATGGACTTGTGTGTCGGTGCCTTTCCTTCTGTTTTTCCTCTCTTCTACTCTATAGGTTTGCAGGTAGGCCTCCAAACTTGTAATGTGGTCCTTCAACCTGAATTCGTTGGCCTCCACCCACTAGCATTGGCCTCTGACCGTGTGTCTTGTGTTTCTTGTGCTTCTTGTCACCAACCTACTAGCGATGGCCCCCCAACCTGCCCACGACGGCCTCCAACCTAAGAGCGAAGACCCCCAACTTTGACGGCTTTGCTGTCTTGTTTCTTGTCACCAACCTACTAGCTTACTAGCGATGGCCCCTCAACCTGCCTTCGATGGCCTCCAACCTAAGAGCGACGACCTCCAACTTTCGTGCCTCGTTTTACTCAGGCTTCTTTTTAAACTAGGTTGGCGGGTGGCAACCGCAACCGAAACCGTACGCAATTCAATAAGTGTGTGTGTGTGTGCCCCTTGTAGTCACAGGGATTCCGTTGAATTGTTTCCGCTTACTTCAGCAGGGGCGTGCGGCACTCTCGTCCTACCACACGCAACGAAGCTGTGGGCGGAGGGAAACTTGGCCAGTTTCCTGTACCTGCTGCGATATTTACTCCAATCTCCGGGCCCTGCTTGTACTTAAAAAAAGAAATCCAGCCTTTGCACCGGTTTGCTCTCGGCAGTCACGCATAGGGCTTTGGTTTCGGACGACGTCACTCTGTCGCTCGGTCGTTCGATGGTTCCTTTAGAGTTGATGGCCACGCTGAACTTGATGGACCTCCACTTCCTTTTCAGGTTTCCTTACCTGTACTCACTGTACTCTTAGGAAATGGTAACCTAGGCCGGCGTGTGGCACCGCTTTCAGTTCAGTACACCCTATCCTAAGTGTGTCTGGCCTCGGCCAGCCCGGGATTAGCCCGCAGAGTGCCTCCCGTGGACCCGTCGAACGGGCGTTTGTCCATGTTCCCCGGCTTTGGGAACGTAGGTGTCCGGAGCGGACAGCAGATGGCTTATGCCACAAGAATTGGAATTTTTGTCTCATCTTTGGAATTCCAAGTTGGCTCATGCCTTTACGTGACCGCAGCGGTCAGAGGTGGCCGCCCTCGGGCATGCCGTACGTGGTCGCAGCGACCGAAGCTTGTCCCATTCTTAGGTGCACACACAGCGTATACATGCAAACGAGGCGAGGTCTTCCTAGGTGTTTCTAATGAGGTTCGGCTTCATCGGTTCTCGTCCCCTCCATTTGGTTCCCCTTTTCATCCTTTCCCCTCTTACACACCTTTTGTTTCCTCTTTTCTTTCATGTCCTCCTGTCTTCATGTCTGGTCATCTCATCCTTTTCTTCGTTTGCGCGCACATTGGTCCCGGCCTTAGTGTGTACGTGCACTTCTACCTACAGTTTTAACACAGGCTTCAGGTCGCCCAGGTCTTTACAATGAGGTGGGCTTCCCCACTCCCCCACACCACAGGTGTGGTGTCGAACCTGTGGGATGCTGAGGGCCCTTACCACAGAGCGCGAAGGTCAATAGCAAAGAGATGCAAATGGACTGCACCGATGGGTCCATTGAGACCTGCCCGTGGAACCCCCAAGGCGGGAGATGGAGGGCTCCAGTGCCTCGAGGTGGCCGTTGGTCTCTTAGGTTCTTTAGAGCTCGTGTGATGAGCTGTTTTCGTCCAGGATGGCCTTCTAACAGATCAAGAGTCTATGGGCGTTGACACTGTGTCCATGTTCAGTACACCCACTAAAGCAGTAGGGTTCTCTTGGAAAGCTCCTGCAATTCTGGAGACAGTCCTGGCAAATGTCCATGAGCATTGGCACAAATGCATCACTCAACGCCTGCGCGCGTAGCCGAGCCGGAGGAGGCTGGCTCACGCTCTATGACACCATGGCACTATGGAAACCTTGACGACACCACCTGTCTACAATTTTCAATACGACGACGCAATGAGCAGCCATATGAGACCCTTGCTTTAAGACATAGCCTGCTGCCACTGCTGTTTGGAAAGAATCCACAAGATTGGCAAAATGCTGGGACGCCACGCATCTAGGAACTCAGGGTGCTGTCGGAACACTGCCAGTCGTCGTTCCTCCAATCATTGGAGGATGTGTGAAGCAGTTGCAAACTAGTAGCGATGCCCCTGTTACTAGTAGCTTCGTGCTACTAGTAGTAATGCCCTTGTTACTAGTAGCGATGCCGTTGTTACTAGGTGACTAGGAAATGTTCCCTTTGCAAGCACATTAAACCAAGTCGGACGTTGGAATTACACCAGGACCTCCCTTCTTTCGGCAACCAGTGCAGTAACTCTACCTTCCAAGAGTCTTGACAGAAATGTTGGTTCGAGGATGCCTGCTCCAGATCTGGCAAAGTGTTTACCCTTCCTTGCATGACAGTTATATATTGCAGCGGAATTCTTGCAGCTCCTCACATACGCAGCCGCAGTCTGTGAGCAGCACAGACGGCAAGACCTCAACACCATTTTATTGGATCTAGAACAACCTGCCAGGGCTACGAGTACAGTATAGCTGTGCTGGTGTACAGGGGCTGATCGAAAGGTTTCGGGTTGGGAGTTGTGATTTGGAGGCGTGCCAGTGAAGTGCTTGGAAGCCTATATAGCCATATAGCCTATGACCCAAAGGGCACAGGTGTCTCGTCTCTAACAACCCTTGCTCAGCTTGGTGTCTGGTCTCCCACTCTACTAGGGGCTCCTGGCATCGCTGCTAGGAGCATGGACGCTACTAGGGGCTCCTGGCCTTACTACTAGTAACAAGAACGCTACTAGGAGCAAAGGGCATTGCTACTAGGAGCAAGAACGCTGCTAGGAGCATGGACAGGTCTCCCACCCTCTCGGCACATTTCGGTGCTCCGGCCGATGCCACCAGCCCCAGCACACGGATCAGGCCGCTGCTCGTCTGGCATATGAAGTGGACGTGGGGTTGAGGAGCTATACCGCATCCACAATACCAAACACGGTAAAAGCAAAGTGATGTGAATTTGCTAAGAGACTCCTCAGGTCAAGAATTTGTTCCTTTCCAGTTCAGTTCTAGGACTCAAAACTGACCACAGAACAGTTTCGAGTTTCATGTGCCTGAGCAGGGCCCATACCAGAGCCGACCACATCCATTCCTGGATGAAATTGCGCCACTTTGGACTTGGCACGGAGAAACACAAATATCTTCACCACCCAGGTCACAAGACAAGCTGATGCAACATCACACCATGGTATCATTGGCAACGGCGCCTAGCAACATCTGACGGAGAAGGCTGCAAATGTCCTCGGGATGCAGTGTAATCAACTATCAGGCTTGAGTGCTTAGAAACCACCACATCAGTAACATCGGGTTAAATCAAGCCTCGGCGCAGGAAAACAGTTGCAAACGTTTATGTGCTGCCTTGTCTGGGATATTGAGTTGAAGGTATCAAGATGGCAGATTCAAGTGCGGTCCTGTTGCAACACTTCCTCCGCAAAGTCATGCGAATAGTTGGTCAAGACAGACAAAATGTACAGAACCTGGCAGCAATCTATACAACTTCAGCCAACTGTGCATTGCCTGGATGAATGCGCATGATACCTGCTGGCCCCACATTTACAAGAGAAACACCCTTAGTTCTAGCTTGCAATGCAGTCAACTATATAGACTACTTGTTTCATGTATTCCACTGATCATGCCTCTGAAAGGACCGAAGCACCCCCAGAGTTGGAGGAGGAGATGCCATTGCCCAGCAAGAGCATTAGATTGCTCAAGACCTCACCGTGGGTTGGACTGAGCATGGAACACCTCCGTCAATTCAGACTTTATCTATCAAATTGTATGATGTTCGCTCCTCTCTATAAAGCTTGCTATTCTTCCTGCGTCGTGGCGAAGCCCATCCTGCTTGCTCGCAAGCGTCAGGTCTAGCTAGATTGACCTAAGATCCAAGATTTCTAAGTGCATTGAATTGTTCACCCTCCTGCGCTCCTGTGGTTGTCACCTGTGACGGTCTAGCCTTCCGTTCGGATCTAGGCACCGTGGTCACAGCTGCGAATCCGGACTCCACAGAGTCCAAAAATTTGCTACTTCATCAAGTAGGCGCCTACTTGATTAAAGCAAGGAAGGAGTAAGCTACTAGGCTAAGTTAGCTTCTAGTCACTGGACACAGGATAGCTCACACACTAATGATTTGGTTCCTAGATTTGTTTGGAAACTTAAGTAACTGTTTTTTTGGGAGCCCAACACAGAGCTGATTCATGAGGAACTGCAAGGACTGCACCAGTCACTAGTTCCAGAAAGGAGCAATAAATAGAATGACCTGAATATGTGGAAAACTGCATCATCACTGACGGATGCAAGGTTCTGCAAGGGCTTGTTCTGACCAGCAGGGCACCCGAAGACAATGGACAGAGGTGGTATGCAAGTGACTGTGCCAATGGACTGCACAACCACAATCGTTCGCATGCCACATTGCTTCTCACAATGTTCGCCTGGAGATTCCCGAATGCACCATCTCAAGCTTTCGTTGTAACAAGTCTTTCAAAGCCTCACAGCGCTAAATGTGCATATCCTCATTATCAATGTCGACTTCTCAACGACCACGCATGGTCATTCGCCGAGGCAATAGCTCTATATCCAAATGAGTTTGAAATGCCCAGGATACAAGCCACTTCCAAAGTGTTCGAAATGGAAGCACCACAGAGTGAGCAGAAACAGCTGAGTCAAAAAGCAAGGCCTTCTTCCACTTTTGACTCAAGGTGATCTTCATGTGATCTTCATGTGTGTGTGTGTCTGGCTGTAAATGAAGAACACATGTCTCTTCGTGGTTGAATGAATCGACGGCCTACAGAAAGATCAACATGTCAGACATCTGGACCCTGGAAGTAAGCGTTGGTAGCTTGTTTCTTCTGTACTAAAATGCCAGCAGAATCGTTCGCTACGAATCTAGGCTTCCAACGGCACTCGGGCACATGTCCTCAAGAACCACAGGCAATGTTTGGGCAGGGAAATGCTCCCGAAAGGAAATGCCCGTGAACTCACTTTGATTCAACAAATGTAAGAAAGGTAAGAAACATGCCGGCAGCTGCAGTCACTAAAGCTCACTTCGGAACGACGCTCGCGTTGCGGGCACCAAGATTCTGAGGCATGTTGTTTAATTGTTTGATTTTATAAACCCCGAGCAAAAAGAGGTGCAAAACATGCTGTATCCGTATCCTAAATTAAGATGTGTGTGTGTGTGCCATGATCACCCTCCTTCAGGCTGGCCGACAGCTTTTCTGTGGTCACCGCTGGAGTCTCGCTGACCTGGTACAAAAGGCCACCATGGGTGTGGGTCTTGAGGCGTGGAACTTGACCAACCACACAATGTGGAAGTAGCTGTTCACGAGGTGATGTCAGGAAGGTAATACTGTGGGTTTTGACATTCTAATTTCCTGGCAAGCAAAATGGCTCCCATGTCTCAGCTCAGTTCCGAAGAGAAGGGACGAAAGTCTCTCTTGAAACCGTTTCTCCTATCGGCTAGCAGTACGTGATTTTCGACGGCCTGTATCCCGAGAAATGCTTTCTTCTGGAAAGCTAGCCAGTAACAAGCTGGCAATATTTCTCTTGAGATGGACCCTTGGCCCACCGTCCCAATCCTTCATCTGACTTGAATCTCCGAAAACAACCACACGAGCAATCACCCATCTGCATTGCACACTGACCTCCATGTAGGACACCAAAAACCCAATCCCAGCTGATCGTAGTGAGACTTGCTCACGAAGACTTATCCGTTCTTCCTTTAAATGCTTCGTGTCAAAGGTGGGATCTGGGTCTCAAACCAGGGTGACCGCTGGGACTGGGTGACCCCTAGGTGACCCCAAACTACCTTCTCTGCCTCTCAAAGCGTCTCATTTTGGGAGACAAGGTCCCAACGGGAGGTGCCGGCATTGCGGGGATTGGCGGCTCATCGTCGTCATCCTCGTCCTCATCCTCGTCCTCCTCCTCCGGACGCTTCTCTGCACCAAGACCTTGGTGAAGTTGCCAAGTCTGCAAATCCGGTGGAAAAGAAAAACACAAAGTATGCAAAGAGATCTTGTCTCTTTCTCTTCGTGGCTAGCCAGGTTTGTCAAACGTACCCAGTCACCCTCTACCGCATTCATTCGTTTCATTCAGAAACATTTCAAGTGAGTTTGAGTGGTTTCGGTTCTTTCCAGCAGGATTCGACAAAGCTCAGGACGAAGGCGAGCTTCAGCAGCAAAGCGTGAGACTAAGGAGCCTGGCACGGTGGATCGTGAAAAGTAAAACAAACGCATTGCAATGCTCCTGCCTAACGTGCCAGGGTCTTCTTTGGGACGTTCATGGGCTGTGATGCATCCATCCTGAAGCAACCCATTCAAGCTCTTGGCCAATAGGTATAGTAAATACTAAAATACCTGAACATTGAAACCCCTCACATACGCTGAAGCTGAAGCTGAGGGCAGTACAATAACTCTGCGCCAGCATTCACAGATGGAGTGCAGCACCTCAACAGGATATGCAAACATTGGAGAACGTTTCTCGTGCAACAAACGACGAGAATGCGCGTTCGTCTCGTGCGAAATGTGAAAACCAAAGCCCCGGCCTGTGGGTCAGAGTGCTGCAACCTGAGCAGTGGCAAACCGAATACACTCTTCCGGAGAGTATATAGCTAGAAGTTTGCCCAGGCTGACACCTGAGATGCTTTGTTTTCAAGCACAAACAAGCACGCGCGAGCGAGAGAGAGAGACAGGGAGAGAGAAACAGAGAAGGGGGAAAAGGGCCAAAAGGAAGCTGAGGCTTTGAGGTGCAAAGCTGGAAAGCTGTTCAGTGGGCCGTGTGGCCTTGATGGTGAACTGATTGAACACCACAAAGTAACACAAGCGTTGATTCCAATGGGCGAAACAAGCGCAATGCCAGCTCATCCCAACTAGTTGACTAGCTGTTCCTTTGCCACAGTTTGATCTGGAAACACAACCTCTCATTGTCTCCAAAGATACGAGTAGTGTCCAGCAGGAAGCTCAAGCAGAATCAGGTATATAGTTTTTACATATGTAAATGTATACATACCATACCTGACAAGTGAGGAGCAAAAGCCAGCCCTTGCAGACGATTAGAACAAGGTGCTTCGCTCAAGAAGTTCCAACGAGCCAACGTGAAAGTCTACCCCGCACAGCCCCCTGATAATGCCCGAATCGTTTGCAAGGTGTCCTGCTTTGTCCAAAGTCCTATCGCTAGAACCCCCGCTTTCCGGGACGGCCTCCAAACAAAACACAACGGGCAGCAACAAAAGAAAACTCTTCCTTGAGGTATTTCTTGGGGGGGTGCCCACGTTTGCAATGAGATGGCCCCGCACAAAATGCAGAAGCATCTAGATCTGTAAGACACACTCCTTACCTGCATCGACAACTCATCTCAAGAAGCGGCTCGCAAGATTCAATTATTATGCGCGAAGATGCGTCTGTGCTCTCCTGCTTTGTCAAGGGTCTTATCGCCAGAATCCGCTTTTCCGAGGTGCCTGTTTTGCCCCGAGAGCACAAGGGCACCAACAACAATTCATACTTAAGGTCTTTCCTGGGAGAACTTGGCGCCAGAACCCACTTTTTCGGAGCGCCCTTTGGCCCCAAGACGGTCCTCAAATATTGCATAGAAGGGCGTCAACCAAGAAACCCCCAACTCCTTGCATTGCATCTAGATCAACTGTGTCATTTCCACGCCTGCATCGACAATTCATCTCAAGCAGCAGCCAAAGCGCTTTCAATGGTTTGTCCGGGCAAATCTGCCAAAATTCATTTCAAGCAGCAGCTAGCGAGATTCAGTGAAAGTAATCGAAGATGCTCAAAGGCCTTATCGCCAGAACCCGCTTTTCGGAGGTGCCCTTTTTGCCCGAGACGGCCTTCAAACAAGGCGCAAAAAGCCACCAACAAAATGTCCTCCTTAAGGCGTTTTTTGCGAGAACTTGGAGCTAGAACCCACTTTTTCAGAGGTACCCTTTTATAGCGGCTTCCTGCATCATTCTTGCCTTCTCTTTTCGTCAGGGGCCTTCTTGCTAGAACCCGCCTTTCACAAGTTTGCTTTTTTTGCCCGACACGGAACGTCCGTGCCAGCACCCACTTACTCAGGTGTGCCCATTTTGGCTGTGAGATGGCCTCACGCACAACGCAAAAGGGCACCAATCCAGAAATGCGGCTGAAGGGGTTTCTTCGACTCTCTGCATTTTGATCTCTGTGAATCATTCTATATATCTTTCCTTGGCTCGACTTCAAGCTCAGCTTGGCTCCACAAACTAAAGCAGAAATATTGAAAGGCATAATATGTTACCATACTGGGATCGACAAATTGTTCAAAGCACTCCAAAAGATGCCGTCATGCCCACTTGAGTCATGCAAAAAACGCCGTCATGCCCCATTGATGATGAAAAATATGCTAACTTTCGTAACGCATATTCTTTTGAAGTTGGCAAAGCACTGAGTTCAGTATGTCCTACAGCCGCTGGGCTCCCTGGCAATTGTGCCAAGGTCGGCAACACCGGCTTCACGTGCTGCTCGAAACTGCAACAGATTCAGCAGGCCAATGAATGGTTTCGCACAGGATCTCAAAACTACTGCTAGTACTACTACTCCTCCTACTCCTCCTACTACTCCTCCTGCTCCTACTCCTACTCCTACTCCTACTCCTACTCCTACTCCTACTCCTCCTACTCTTACTCCTACTCCTACTCCTACTACTACTACTACTACTACTACTCCTCCTACCAGTCCTCCTGCTCCTACTCCTACTCCTACTCACCTACTCCTACTACTCCTACTCCTACTCCTACTCCTACTCCTACTACTACTACTACTACTACTACTACTCCTACTCCTACTCCTCCTCCTCCTCCTACTACTACTACTACTACATGCTTGTCTCCAAGTCTTATTTTGCTTCAGAGTTTTGGATGCAGGTGTAAATGGAAGTAGAAAGTCCAAGGCACACTTGCGCAGGTGTCACCGCTTGAAGCATCAGGGCCTTGGTTGAACAGTTCTCTAAGCAGGACTACACGAGTTCAACATGTCTGCCAAATTAGCCTGACTGATACACCCCCGACACTTCCGAGGCTCGAATTGAGGTGCAGGCTGCAGCATGGGCGGCTTGACGCTGGACGGAGATTTGGAAGAAGTCCTGCAAATCCGGAATCAGACCGGACGGGTGAAGAAGCCTCGTCTGCCTTGTGCAAAAATGAGAAACTAAGAAAGTACATGGCCTACAGTCGAAAGTTGATCTCTAAAAAAAATGAAAGATGCGTATATCAATTGATTCGGTGACATCAAACACACTCAAACCCAAACCCTGTTGGGATCCCTCTCAGCCCGCTTTCAGCCCCATCTCCGCTCCAGGAAGGTGAGGATTGCCTCCAAACCACCCGCTTTCAGCACTTGTACTGGCTGATCCTGCGGTGGGAGATATCTCAACGACACTTACAAGATTTCATTCTCCAATCCGAACTGCCAAATCTCCAGACGACGGAAAGTCTCTCGTCCGAAGAGAGTTGCACGACACTAGATTAAAGTTCGAAGCTCCTTGATGGTGCTTGCATGCATAGCGCGCGCGCAGAACCAGACAATGCATACCAAAACAGGAAATATAACAGGGCAGAGGGCATGTCTTTGATGAGCAACAAGGCATGGTCGTCTTTTGAGTTGACAGCATTGCAACTCCCTCAGACCAGGTGAGACTTGTTGAGCCCAAAGAAACCTCCTAGAAGCCCTTCACAAAAAGACATAAATAACTGCAGGCCCCAAGCACAAAGCCCGCCTGAGATATGAGCTCGATTGTTGAGACAGTCAGCTCTGCAACATCGATGTACTCAATGTTCAGAAGATTGGCGCCTCATAGACTGTAGACTCGGGAAGCCCTAAGCCACTAAGTCATTAATCATATTTCTTCCCTCACACAGAAGATTGGAAAAGCAGTAAAGGCCAAGCTTGATGCCCCAACTTGAGCCTCTTTCAGGAGCCTCTTTCTTCCTCGATGAAAGGACATCAGCTTCGCCGAGGCACAAAGGACCGAGAGGCCACCATGGCCCACAATGATGCGAGCAGTCGGCGGCCTCGGAATAAGGGCCAAACGGCTAGAGAGTTCGTGGTGTTTGATAGGATTGATTGGGTGCTGTTGATCTCGTCCAAGTTGGTCACAACCACAAACTTCAGAGGAGATCGGAATATGCCATTCACCATGGCATTGTGAACCATTTGACCTTTGTCAGTTAACTGGGTAAACCACGGCATTGCGTGTCTAATCTGTTCATTCAGCCCTTGGCAGGATGTCCACCACATTGTAAAGGCAACGGCAGGCCAGCAACATGACCTGAGGTGCAAGACTCTCACGGATTTCCAAAGAATTTAAGCAGCAAAGCAGTAGTAGAACACGTTCATTTCACTGCACAAAACAAACAAAAGCAGTAGCTCAGTAGGACTATCACATGACCGGTCCGGCCTGTCCGGTGGTCTCATCGCCATGGCCTGGATTTCCCAGGAGGTTCACCTTAAAGATCCACTCGAAGCACTGATGCGGAAATTCAGAAAAATGCCGGGTGAGAGCAAGGACGCACAGTTCACACAGTTCTGTTCTTGTTGGCAATTCAAAACTTGAACCCCTGGCGGAAAGCTGCTTCATCCACTTCACTACAAAGAATGAGAACTGAAGTGATACGTGATACGTATGTCATGTGTAAATGTGTATATATATATACAATACGGAAGACCTCCAGCTTGAGCTCTCAAGAAGCCCAATCCTGCAAACCTCCAGCATGTGAGGCTGGGGCCAACAAAGGGATGAACGTTTCCATGGGAAAGGAGATCAATGCCTCCTCGGAACCTCAGGTATGCAGCTGATGACTGCAACCATACACTCACAACACCTGACCATCAATATGGCTTCAAGGCAAATGATGTTTCCATTCCACAAAAACACGTTCTGAAAGAAGTTGGATACACGTGGATCAGGAGACACTATGGCACTATGGTTGAGACAGAGCAGACACTCTTCTGATTCCGTTCCTCCTCTTTCTCTTCTCCAGTTTGCTTCGTTCACACTTACTGCAACGGCACAAAACCACAGGCGGACCTGACACATTTTCTGGCCTTTTGTTCGTATCAAGTTGGGATGGCTCCTTGGGGCTGTGTCAGTTCTGTGATCCTGGTACTTCTTCATGGCCCATTACTACATATGCTGATCTGACACCTGACTCAATCGATTCTGCAAAGCAAAGCCGCAAAAGCACCTCGATTCTATCCAACTTGAAACGGCTACCAGAGTCAGCTGGACAGCTTAGGACCCTGCTGAAACTGAGCTGCTCTGCGAGCTCTGTAAGAGCCACCAGCTGCTTCTGGCCATCCTCTGAAAGTTTGCAAGTCGAAACAGGACGTTCTTTCGACCAAACCCTTCGGAGCTCTGCTAGTGAAAATTAACTTGTTGAAACCTGACAAAAGGCCACTCTCAATTGGAACATGTCCGAGCTTGACAGTCCTCGCTCTTGAGATCTCTGAGCAAGGGAGAGAACTGCGAGGACGAAGACCTGCAAATGCAAGTTAGGCTAATTCTATAACAATGACATCGGAAAAGAAAAAACATAAGACAATCCCAATTGTTCCTCAAACAAGCTATGGATGCATCAAGCCTCATCTGCTCTCTCTCTCTCTCTCTCTCTCTGATCTCACTAATATGGCACCGCCATCCATCTCCACTTCTCGAAGTCTGCTGGGCTCCCAGCGAGGATGAGCCAAGGCCGAAGGGAAAGCCTCTCAATGCACAAAGCTCCATGCGCCCTCGGGCCCTCGTTTCGTCCAACCCTGGTGAAGCATCGGCAACAGAGCTGTGACGCCTCCAGGTGAAGCATCGGCTCCTTCCATCTGTGCTCGCTTCATGAAGAAGCTGAAGGCACCTCAAGAAAGCAAAAGGCCCATTTCAAATAGGAACCCGCACTAAGGAGAAAGCTGAGGACCGCACTGTTGCGGTCGACGGTTGCTATCAACCAGTGACACTCGTTTGTTTACCTCTTTTTGGTCTCATAAATGGCTGTACTGCCTTCAAATCTTCATGGATACATGGCCTGCCGACAGTTGCAGCAGTTTCTGACTGGGTATTCCACAACCGAATTGTCAGGAGCCATGTCAGAAAAAGTAAACAACAGGAGCAAACAACAAGTAAGTATGGCAAATGTTTAAGAAATCCAGGTCAATCGCCGCTGGAGACTCGGATAACGCACTCGCGGAGCTGTGGGACTAAGATCAATGCCAAGATCTCCGCCACGATGTCTGGCCCTGGGCCATCTTTTTGGAACATGCACTGACAAACAAAATTATAAACACATGTGAAACAACCAGCTTTCATCGCCATCCAGAACATAGCCAATGTCGTGGCTATTGGTAATGTCGCTGCAGGACTTGCATCTATGTACTCGCAATAGCTGCGCCAGGTCATCATGCTGAAGAATTGGAGGGGGGCTTGTCGTCGACAGTCGCAAGTGCAAGCTGTGCATTTCGCTTGCTCTCAAGCAACTCAACTCTCTCGCAACTTCTGTTTGCTTGCCAAAGATCTATTGTACTTTGCAAAGCAAGTGCTAGCAGTACTCAGGTGCCCACAATCCACGTGCCATTCCTTGGGGAGTTTCAGCTTCCTGCAAGCCGCATCATCTCTCGTGCAATGCATTTGATCGGATGTTCATCAATCTTGATTCCAGGATGCTTACACACTTTACATTGATCTTAGTAGTAAGATCTCCGTTATACTGTCCAAACAGTATGCAATCGCACCACCAAAAATCTGTGAATCTGCACGATGCGCAGCGGAAAAAGCTTTCAGCATCCAGTCTTTTCTCTACGCGGTGGCCTCGCTCTTCATTTCATTGGCACGCTGTCTTTGTACTCTCCTTAAGAGTAATGCTGCCACCACCGACATGAGGCCAGCGACGCCGAAGCAAAGAATCCTGTTCCTGGCTCTCAGAGTTGACCACATTCACTCAACATAAAGCTGTCAAGGTTTCCAAATACATCCAAGGCGCCTTCCATAAAGAAGTCCGAGCGTAATCGGGGTAAGGACCCGGGCGATGTTGTCTATAAGGGAGCACAATCCAAGGGTCTCAGCGACTCTGCATCACATACCCACAATGACATCAAGAAGAGCAGCTCATCCAAAACGAAGCAAACAACAAAATTGCTTCATGAGTCCCTTTCCAAGACCCCTCCACGACACACTAGCCTCACTAGACCTCTCCATGTACCACAGCTTATTTGTCTTATCAAAATCAGCTTCGCTGCTGGATCTGCAGGACTTGATGGCCACGTTCAACTACTATGCCTAGCCAAGTTGCTCGGCCCCGATGATGCTTTGGCACGCTCGCCGCCAACAAGGTGGGAACTGTTGCAGGGAACGTGGCCGAACCAAAGGCATACAGCAAGCCGCCTGGCGTGCCATTCATGGCCATTCCCATCAAAGACCAAGGGAGATGAGAAAGAATGAATCTCATTGATTTTTCTGCTGAAGTTTAAAGTCAACAGGGTTGCTGTTCAAAACAAAGCAGTGTGCAATCAAGCACTGAACAGTTGGAGGGCAAACCAACTGAAAAGGCTTTCTGAAATCAAGATACGTTGGTGAGATCCTTTTGCTGCCGCAGGCAGTAGATTTTGAGTGCAAGATTGAAGCACTGCAGTGGTGGGGGTGTGTTCATCTTGTGATCGTAGTACAAGGCTGAGCATGTGCGCTGCATGTATTGGTGATCAGCAGCGTTTGTGAACCCTCGTTCGGCGAAAGAAGCGTGACTCTGTTAAATCATCAGTTTGCGCAGAAGGCAGAGAGAGGCAACGACGATGTAACATTCTTACAAAGATGCAAGCAAAACAAAACCCTGAATAGATGCACTTGGCAAGCTAGCAACCTAAGGTGGTCCTTGGCAACCAAGGTACCATGGTAGCTCTCTTCCCTTTAGTTTACGTTGGCCTCTCCAATACGCCGCCAGTCGGTATGTTTTAATGTTCGTTCATCGTAGTGGCTTTCTGGTCAATTGGTAGTGGTCTGATCATGACTGAGAGTTGGCTTGATGGGTTTGGGGTCGTAGCCTCAAGTCCGTAGTGGGTCGTGTAAGTCGAGCTACAGATTAACTTTCAGCGAGCAGGGCGAGCCCGGCTAAGCTCTTGTACAAAGCTTCTGAGACCCAGCCTATTGCAAGCATGGGCACGCTTCCAACGGCCAGCAGCCACAGGCCTCAGTTGTAACTTCACAGACCCTTAAGGACTCCTCATCTTGTGCTTTAAATGCTGTCTTGTATCTTCGTTCTATTGCTAACATGCACTTGCTCTGCGTCAACTTAATGAAAACTAGACGACGAGTGGCCCGAAAACATTTTTCATCACGTAGGAAGTCAGAGTGTGAGTTCTCTGTTAAGTGTTCAGTGTGAAGTGTCAAGTCGATTAAGTCGAGTGAGTTGAGGCAGTGTGTGGGTCTCTGTGTGTGTGTATTTATGTCTGTGTGTGTATGAGTCTCTGTCTGTGTTTGTGTGTGTCCGAGTAAGTTGAGGCAGTGCGTGGGTCTCTGTGTGTGTGTGTCAACCTCTCAAAAGAGCCGGGTGGTCGGGAGACATGACTCAGCTGCAGGGGCGCCAGAGCAGCCGCGAGAGATGACTCAGCCGCGAGAGATGACTCATCCGCGTACTAAAGTTGTACTACAAAGTCGCCAGTTCTCATCTTCCAGCTCCCCAGATACTCCGC